GGGGAGATAAGCATTTCCTTAGCCCCCAGCAGGAGCGTGGGAAGGTTAAGAGGATGAGACTGGCACCACCCTAAGGAATTCACGGTGTTTGCTTGCTGGCTTGGGAGGTTTAGTTTCAGTCTCACGAGATTCTGTCTTGTGGTTGAAAGCTAATAAAAGCTATCGGCCTAGGCCTGTACTGTCTCGTGGAGTTCTTTGGGCTGAACCTGACATCAATCTCTCCAGACTCAATCTAAATTTCCCAAGCCAGCAAGCAAACACCGCGAATTCCTTAGGGTGGTGCCAGTCTCATCCTCTTAACCTTCCCACGCTCCTGCTGGGGGCTAAGGAAATGCTTATCTCCCCGAGTGCAGCCTTCACTAAACGATTCCATCACAGGTTCACAGTGCATGCAATTAAATTCTACTGACATAAAGGCCTTCAGAGTCTGGGCAATTGGACAATTCTTTACCACACTTTTCTGCCTTTTTTTCCCCACTTACCCTCCATTTTTTCCCCCACCTACCCTGGAATAACGGGGGATGAAGATACAGAAAGAAGATTTTTTTTACCCACTGGTGAAGAAACTTCCCAGTTATGACAGCAGGACCAAAGGATCTGGCTGGATTCATGGAGCAGCTAGTATAGTAATGCTAGGAATGGAAAATCAGAAGAAAGCATTAGCACAGACAGCTCTCGCAGGGTTCCTATTCTCTGTTTCGGTTTCCCACTTCAGCAATTCCATCAGAAGCTTTTTCTCAGGCCCAGAGAACTACCGTGTGAGGATGGAATCCATATAGAACAAGACACTGGAGGAAAATTCCTGTGTGGCTTTCTAGTCTTATACCCGATACTGAAGATTGGAGTTGGGGGCCCTTCCCCCCAAAACACCTCTCTTGCTATAGGCAGGCTCTTCTCTGGGTAAAACATTTGCCAATCTGTGGTGTGCTCTGAGCATTGGGATGCCAGTTGTGCATCCCACCACCCACTGTGGTGGGATTATCTAGGAACATAGCTGTAAAGGTGCAGAATGTTGCCCACCGTAGGATCTGCTAGCTAATTTCAATGCTCTCCCCAAAACACCACTGACATTTTTACATTATATATGGGCAAGCTTTGCAGCCAAGAATCCAGTCTCTGCACCAAGCCCAAGTTATTTACAAGGCAGTTAAGACAATATCTGTTTCATTATTCCTTTCTTCTTGGTTTTTAAGAGCCTTCGGCTTTCTCTGACTAATATAGGGTTGGGTGTATTGTATCTTTTATTTCTAACATTCATTTTCATCTTGCTTTGCATGCGTACTCCCTCCAAAAGCACTTTCCATCATTTTAAAAGCTTGCTTCTAGCATTTTAAACAAAACAAAATAAAACAAAGCCTCCTTGGCTTAGGGCTACCAGATTTGGGCTGCAAAAGGCCAAAGGCTTAGAATTTTCTTTATCTCTTCCCTGCTCTCAAGTAGTCACCAGCCAGATCTGGTAACCCTACTCTTGCTCTTAACTTTCCCAGTGTCTCTTCATTTACTTACCCCAACTAAGTGGCCCAGGGCATCCGAGATGCCAATGATGACAGCTGGGGAACCTGTACTACGCTGTGGATCTGTGGATGCAAAATAGCACAGAACCAACTGGAGGGTCAAGATGAGCTCAACTGCAACAGCTTGTCCAGATGAAACATTGGCCCTCACCTAGGATGGAAAAGGAGGCAACAATGAAAGAGATTTTAAAGGCCTGCAGAGCGATATTGCTGGCATTGCTATGACAGTCGTAAGTGCAAGGACTGGTCGTAAACTTATTATTTCAGTGTCATCAAAAGTTTGAAGTGTCGCTAAACATGGCAGTTGTTAAGCAAGGACTACCTGTAGTCTGTACTAATCAATTGTTGGGCTGATTGTGTAACACTGCTCCAGTCAATGACCTAAATAAAGACTTGATTTGATCTTGTCTTTTTTGAACCCCACCCCCCAGGCCACCCTGCATGAGTGGCAGGAGAAGCAGGGAGAGATGGAGGCAGTTGGGCCTTTGGGGGGAATGGCACCCCAAAGACCCCCTTCCCTCTATGGATGGTGACTGAAAAACTGCTTACTTCTCCCCCTGTCCCCCCAACTTCTTGCCATGCTTGGTAAGAAAAGTGCAGGGAAGGAAGAGGATGAATGGCTCCCATCTGGTTTAACTCTGTGACTCTTCTGCTGCCAGTAACTAGCCCCAAGGGAGGCCTTCCCCACCCCACCTCTTTCCTCCCACCTGCTTCTACTGGGAGAGAACCCCATTCTGCATTGTTAGGGGCTGAAAGTGCAGTTAGCTCACTTCTAAGGCTAGGATACTTTGTGCCAGTTCCCGCCCTTTCCTGCTATTTACTGTTCTGTTCTTTCTTTCAAACCAGGATCACCATCTGTACCTGCCAGGTTAATGAGTTAATCCTTGACAAATCAATTTCGGAGGGGGGAGGTATTCAGTGAAGCAGGGAAGAGAGAGTCATCTCTCCATTATTTCACAGGCGCAACACTCCCCATACCTGTCAGCTTTTGATCATGGATTTAGTGCTGTTCTGGACTAGGACGACCCAATATGAAAGGGGCTGAACCATTCCAGCTTAGCGCTAGTCTAGAAGAGAAAATAGGTTTACTGCTATTTAGCTTATTTAAGATACTGTGCATTTTAACAGAGGGCTAAGTCTGCTGGTCTAGCCATTTGCCAAAAATGGTCTCTCACCCCATCTCCATCCCACATTAAGAAAAGCGATTGGTAGATGATTTCCCACTAGATGGTGATATTGGGGAGCCAGGGGAGAAAAGCAAAGCTGGAAGAATCCACCAATCCTTGTCCTTAACATGCCTTGTACACCATAAACAGGTTCAGTATTTTCCAGCATCCTATCTGTGGCAGGATAGGGTCGTCAGTGGAAATAGTAAGTTTTATGCAGTATAACTTTATGCATGCTCAAGGATTAGTAGATAGATGTCCTACTTGGCTTTGAGAAAGCAACTAAGAAACAGAGATTGGATGCTTCCCCTTGACTGCAGGCTTCCAGAAGATCTTTAACAGAGGCAAAAAGAGGGTTAACTTCTAGAAAAGAAGAGCTGACATTAGGATAAAAGAGTGAACTTCCTCCCTCCCTGCTTCTCTTGCCTTCCACCTTCCATTTTACCTTTTTCTAGGAGTCACCTCTTGCATATAAAACTCCTTCTACAAGTCTGTGAATTTTTGTTTTGCATTGACTAGAATTTTCATCTATCTTTTATTTCAGTATTTACAGGAATTATTTATTTTGTAGTTTTCCATTATTGGTAAATCAAATCCTGATTACTGTGAGTACCCCAAGAAGTAGAGCTATCAAATCTCCAGTGCAAAATCTGAGGACTACTAGAGGTTAGCACCAAAGTTTTAGTGAGACATTCTAGTGGTCATCCATCTTTATGCAGCCTACAGGTTGCAGGACTTAAATTTCCTTAAACTAAATATATTTCTCGTGTTTTTCAAAAAATAAGCATTCCCCAAAATATGTTCAAGGAAACAGTTGGTGGGAATATAGGCTTAGGTATCTAATAACTATGAGTAGACTATATGGTTGATTTCAACATCCACTAAACCAGGGACTGGCAGTATAGCATCCATGTCATCCCAAAACTACACATAAACACAAACTTTAAAAATAGTTGAAATCTTGTGAGATAATGGTTTTCATACTTCATTCTGGAAAATGCTAAAATCTCACAGGATTTTGAGCCTGAATGCCCAAATCTCATAAGATCTGGGAAAGAAGGCAAAACCTTGTGAGGTGTTAAGGGTAAAACTGCCTGCATTTCACAAGAATTCAGCCATTAAAAACATGCTTTATTACTGCTTGTTAAATAGTTGCACATCCCACCTGGTCAACTCAGGACCTGATAACTCTCTAGATCTTGCTGAACTATAACCCAACAAAATCCTGCTGCAAAATTCCAACCTCTGATCTACTCTATTTGCTGAAGGTAGATTCCACGTTTCCTTTATCTACACACCCATCAAGCAAAGAGGTTGAGGAATATTGAGTTGCTCAAGGTCATCCAATAACTGGATGGAGGAAGAGGGCATTTCTAATACAGTGCACAGGAGCCAGCTATAGTGGAGGAGTCCTCCTACAATGAAAGGAAGCACAGTGGGCAAACTAGACAACGTGGGAAAAAACCACCTTGATATCAAGCAGGAAAAGATTTCCCGGTGGGCTGGTAGTGAGTAGAGGACAATAACACGTGTTCCAGTCATTGAGAAACAGTCAGCGTCAGTACTCATGCTGAGGCAACCTGGTCATGTGGATCAGCCCTGAG